AAAAGAAAGAATTTTAAGGCAACAGGAAGTATTTTTAATGTTTTTTCCAAAACAAAAGTGTCTTAAAACAAAATTTTGGAAATTTCACTAAAGCAGTGTTAATTTTTTAAACAAAAACTAGATACCATGTAATAAATTTGTGTTAAGTTCAATGTAATTTGGTTAAGTATTTACATTGTGAGAAGGAAATACTCAAGGGATATCAGGGACTCCTTCCGTTCCAGAAAGGGTTAAAATAAGTAGTAATATTCATATATTTTTAACCATTTCCAGCCCATTGTCTTTTGCTTTTTACAGGAACAAAATGACAACTTTAAGTTTTGAAAATTTTCTCTCTTCCCTATTTTACTATAAAGTTTTGATTGGCATGTTATTATTTCATTTTTTTATCTATGTTTTATTAGAATTTGTTTTTATATTGGATAAAGTAATTAAAAAGGAATCCAAACTGTTAAAGCTACTTTTTAATTTTACCTCCTATAATTGTTATTGGAATAGCAGAAATCATTAAATTTCATGTTAGCAAAATACACTTGTCAATGTAGGAAATATAGCCTGACATCTCTAGACTTTACACAAGTTTGTTACTTATTTTTAATTTAAAAATAGGGAATTTTTAAAACTGATGCCAAAAACTGTAAAATTCAACTTTTTGCTTTTTTTTAGAATTTCCAAATTTCTGTGGTTAATAAAGTCATACATACAAGTCTGAAAGCTGGAATTTTTTTTCATGTAGTTTATTTGTGATGCCTGTGTCTTGAAATAATGTAAGTTACAAACAGTTTATACTGTTTGTATGCCATGGAAAAGATAATAAATTAACTTCTCAAACTCAAGCAGATGCTGGCAGTGTGTGTGGCGGAAAATCCTGATTTACCCATCAGACGGTGACAGCATCTGATAACATTTATGTCTCTTTGGCTGAAAATTAATCCAAACCATGCTATTATCCACAAAATTAACAAAATTGAAATTTCATAAAGTATGGTGCTAATTATTAGAAAATCATGCAAATAACTCCAGCAAAATGTGCAAAAAATTATGGGTTTAAAGAGTTAATGTGTTTCCATGCTTTTTTTTATTCTGTTCAAGTAATTATATTTTCAATAAACAGTAACTGCCACTGTTGTAGCTTGGATGAGGTGTCTTCCTATGAAGTTCCTTGGGCAGAGGAGTCTGTTTGAAAAACTGTAAATAAATTTGTAAAAGGAGGGAATAGATAAGTTTCTTTGTAATATAAGCTATTTATATTAGTTTTAATGCTTTAGACAATATTTTATTTTTTTCAACAAAGTGGCCTAATTCGTGACTACATTAGGCCTATTATAGTATATGTGTGAAAACTGGCTTTGGTGGTCAGTGGTTGCGGGGTTCACACATAAAGGTATAGTAAATAACTATGTTATGTAGTGTTTTTATTTTATCATAATTCGTAAATTGTCAATAAATTTGTATGTTTAAAGTTCTCATGGGTATCAGATACTGCTGTATGTTTGAAGTGACTGTGTTTTATATATGGTGACTTGAGTTTTACGAATTACTAATTTTTGGTAATACAAGATCAGAGTTTGCCAGTTTAATTCCACCCATATTACTATATTATAACTTTATCAACCCCAAGTATTATGTTGGAAAATTTCAACCTTTGATTTAACATAAGATCATCAATAGTCCTAGCCACTATTTTTTTTTCTTTCTAGGTGAAACTTTCAGATTTTGGTTTTTGTGCTCAAGTCTCCCCTGACCTCCTTAAGAGGAAGTCCCTAGTAGGCACCCCTTACTGGATGGCTCCTGAAGTAATATCTAGGTTGCCATATGGACCTGAGGTAAGATGTGATTATATGGAACTGTAGTATTTCGAACATACTTATTACTCATATCTGTTTCAAGTTATTTATAAACAAGTTAAAGGTTTATGTGATAACACCTGGCTGCATCTGTTGACCCTCTCTATTCAGGCTTGGTTGTTTTGACCAATTTTACGACCACCATGTAAGAATAAAACTATATCTAGTATAAATTGTAATGAAGTAAGTGTATTTCCATAAAATTTGGCAAGCTTTTGGTAAACATTACAAATGTTTTGTACACGAAACAGATTTTTAAATAGATGTTTACTAAACATTTGTCTGGGAATTTATAGTCAGTGTCAGAATCAAACTCTTGACTAATCATGAGTGCAAGGTGATTTTCATGTTAAGATAAAAAGTGCTTTTTTCATCTTACAGTTGTCATACTTTATTGAAATAACCTCTATAACCACCTAAATGAAGATCCAAAGTTTTTTGTAGTAAAACTGTATTTTAGCTGTTATCTTTTCTACTCTAAAATCATATAGGCTCAGTCCATTTGACCAACTTTGTAACCACCACAAAGAAGATGAAATAAATCACTTTTTTTTTTCTGTTTAAAATGCCTACAGGTTCTAACAGAAAATTACAATGATCTGCTCTAAACAGCCTCGGTTTCATAACAGTTTGCATCTGTTTTGATTATATAAAACCATTGCTAATTACTAAACATACATAGCAAAGCTAAAAATAACCTGATGAATGCACAGCTCTAGTTCAGGTTATCAAAGTATTGAACTACGTAATGTATGAGCTTCTTGTGTGCATACCCTGTTAAAATATTTGTCTATTTAATTGTTTTTATTTTTACTTACCTAATAAGTTTTTATTATGTACATTTGAGTTACATTTATAACAAGAAATAAAAAATATACATAAGAAATGATAAATTTTGGAATTACATGTGGGTTTTGTATTTTTTGCAGTCAAGACATTGATAACTTAGCCCTAATTTTTGCTGGAGATGTTGTTAGTGCTTTACTGAATTTTTATTTATTTCAAATATTCAACTCAGTATAAAAAAATAATAACACACACACACACACACAAAGAATACAATATCTTATAACTATTATAATTTAATGGACTTTTTGACTAAACTATAAGTACTGGTTGAGCTGAACTTGGCAATAGTAACTTCAAATCTGTATACCAAATAATTCAAAATCTGTCATGAGAATGAGCTAGCATTATACACAAGTCAAGTTAAAATTTCTTACTATTGGTTATAAATAATGTAATAGCAAACATCAGAGAGAATTATTGACATTTTTTGAAAGACAGTAAGTGTTAGGAGAGTGGCATGTGGATGTGACTTTCTGGTTTATATATTAAGTAAAACAAGATGATTGGAAGTGATGAAATTAGATTATGCCTTAGTAATATCTATACTATAACTTTGTAATTTGCATTAAAACACAACTCGGAAGGGGTGGAAAAATTGTGTAATTTGGAGTGAACAAGTATCACTTGATTCAGAAAAGTTAAGATTGAAATTAATTTAAATATTTCCTTTTGAAATTAAGACGTTAAAGCTTATATTAACACTTAATTTAACCATTTTTTTGTGTCAAGTTTATTGGCATACGTTCATAATAGAGTAGTTTAATTAAATCTTAAATGTAACTGTAAAAAGGTTGTGATACATGCATTTTTTATCTACCTGTATATAGTGTGTTAGTGATTTAAATTTGATGCCCATTAAAATCTGTTTTCTGTACAGTATTTAAAGTAAATTATTGGTCAATTAAATATCTGGAGTAAGCATGTACATATGTTTACAATATTCAGAAGCTTCTAGTTTGTTGACAGTGTTTAAGTTACTGTTTAAGTTCCAGTTAACTGTGATGTCTTTTCTTAGGTGGACCTGTGGTCTCTAGGTATAATGGTGATTGAGATGGTTGATGGTGAACCACCATTCTTCAATGAACCACCTCTGCAGGCTATGAGAAGGATACGAGACATGCCTCCTCCTAAACTAAAAAACACCCACAAGGTAAACAGTGAAACTTGCTTTATGTTTGTTAATGTGACTCCCGTATGTTCTGTTATAGTTTACAGTACTTTAAAAAAAATTATAATTTCTTCATAAATTTTGTAGAACGGTCCTTACACACTTACAAGTGTGTGTGTTTTAAATGTATAAAACTTCACATCAGGTATGTGCAAAGTAAAAAATACTGAAATAATATATAGTGTTATTTTGGAATAGAAGCACAACCAAAATACTGTAAAAGAAAGTAAACTTTTCTTGATTTTTTTGAAATTTCATGACTGGTGTTCTGTTTTTATTGTTGAAAATAGCTGAAAGAGTCTAAAATGGAGCAAGTTTGAATGGTAGTGGAGTATGGTTTTTTAATAAACCTTGTATTATTAAGGTAATTATTAAAGTATGTAAACTTTCTGATATTGATACAGACTACTGAAGAACATGTGTAGTGTATGTAGGTTTTAACATTATAATGAAAAATCCTGAAATTTGGAATGCATCCATAACTCCATTACTGAAGGTGGTAAGGTTATGTAACACCACTGTTGGTCTGTGTTGATATCATAATAATTGTGGAAGAGAGGATAGATTCAAGTTGTGTACTTAATGTTTGTGCTCTGTAACAAAAAGAAAGCTCCATCTTTTTCTCTCAGGTATCTCCCAGGTTGCAGGGATTCCTGGAGAAAATGCTCCTTAGAGACCCTTCTCAGAGAGCCACAGCATGTGAACTTCTTCAGCATCCCTTTCTGAGGCAGGCTGGACCACCTAGCTTGCTTGTTCCCTTGATGCGAAGCTTCAGGCACAGTCCTTGCTAAAGCTGAAGACGTTTTTATCCATGGATACATAAATATGATAATTTGTTATATGTGGTGTGTTGGCTACATCATCCAGTAGTTAAGAAGTTGTACGTACCTCATACTGTATGTTCTTTGTTAAATCCTGGTGCTCTCCACATGGCCTGATGTGCCAAGTTATTGACCAAAAAATTAACTCAATATAGAATTTTCTCTTCTGAGCTAAAACTCAAGAATTATGTGTTTTGAATATATTTTTACATGCCCTATTTGAAAACCTTTTTTTTTTGATAAACTTATGATTGCTACTGCAGTCAAGGTCTGAAAAGTTAATGCAAATGAAATCTGTTTTTGGTTTTGGTTTTTAGATGTGGTGACTTATGAGGAATAGTTTTAATGGAATGATGTTTTCTAACAAATCCTAATGTTGTCTTTATATACAAACATATTATGTCACAGGGTCAGACAAAAGGTCATTTGTTTGTACTCATCTCCAACAGCAGATAAGGGTTTTCTTTACAAGTACTCACCTCTCTATCAAATTGATTTGTCAACTTAAGATTTTAACTATACAGCCACCTTAACAAAATATAAGCCATAGTGTATATATACAACATTTATAAATATAAGTGATCAGCTTTTGTAGTGACAATCAAAGAAAGGCCTGCAGGTGAAGATAGTTTTCAATGAGATGCACCAATAACACTGAAGTCTTCTTTATGATATATTGAATAACTCAGGCTCCCTGTTTTACTGTGCCATAGAAAAGCAGTTTTCATAAATGACTCCAGAGAAATCTGTTATAAAGGTTCTATTGACACAGAGTCCTCCAATTTAATGGTTAATTATGTTCAACAACAAACAGGTCCCAGTTTTTATAAAATGCTTTACTTAATAACATAAAGAATTTTCACTCTGAAATTGATAACCATGTATAAAAAAAGTATGTCTGCATATACTTTCAGCAACAGTCTTTACTGATTTTCATGACTGTTTAACTACAATAGTTTTGCAGGAAAGGTATTTATTTCTTGGGTGAATGGAAATAATATCATTAAAGAACAATAATTTAATCATTAAAAACCATTACTTGCTTGAAAATGCATATGTTAATTTTTTTTTTATTTATTTAAAAGTGTCAAAAGTCCACTTAGGCCTATTTAATTGCGTTAGAATTTCAGTTGACAAGCCAAACTACCTTTCCCTATTTCTAACACACTAGTATTCTGTGTATAATTCACTTATGATCGTGGCATGAGTTACCACAGTAATATACTGCTCTTCCAGTAATCATTTGGTCTTCTTCCTTCAAAATATTCTATGTTCCTTTTGTCAAAGTGCACTCAGAATTTCAGTTGACAAGCCGAACTACCTTTCCCTATTTCTAACGCACTAGTATTCTGTGTATAATTCACTTACGATTGTGGCATGAGTTACGATAGTCATATACTGCTTTTCCAGTAATCATTTGGTCTTATTCCTTCAGAATATCCTCTGTTCCTTTTGTCAAAGTGCACTCAGGCTGATTCAGTTGCTTTAGAACCACGCTTTTTTACTGTTTCTTACTCTAACATATTTAACGTTAGGCCTATCACTTTTACGACAGTTAACTTCATGCCGACCTTATCCTTGGCCGTGACTTTACTCTCTGCTGCTTTCGTTCATATCACACTATTCATATGTTTATCACTTAATCGTATACCCATCTTCTAGAAATCTATATTTTTGACGTCAGTGTATTATACGCAACATTCGATAGTCTCAACATCATTGAGTTGTAAACACAACTTCCAATTATCATCTGCTTTTAATTCTTATTAAAAAAACTAAACAATCATGAAATAGTAACTTACAAAATAAATTAATTAATAATATCTACTCTAAACAGGCTTTTAACACAAAGTTATGGCTTTATTTTTATTTAAATTATAACTTTTTCTTAGAAAAGAAAATTATTTTTCCACTCCATAATAGAATAAACATTTATTAAAAAGAAATGTTTCTAAATGCAATTTTTGAAGATTTGTGAAAATGCTAATCATTTACATCTTTATTAACTAAGGTAAATTAGAGAGGTATTTAATATTTTTGTGGTTTACTGGTACTATACTGCTACTGATCTTGTACCTTATTGTTTATTACTGATATGTCACAAGTACAAAATATGCTCTTTATTTTTTACAAACTTTAATAACATTTCAGTAAATAGTATACCATTATATGTATTTAGTAACACTATTGTTGGCCCTGTATAGCAGATAATGACCCTTGATAATTTGGTACCGTGAAGTCAAGTGACTTCATAAGTCATCAGTTATAGGACTGATAACTGTTTCTAAGGTACTCCCAATTATTTGAAAGTAAGCATTTTTAAGTGTAGAGATGTCAGTAAATAAACATTACTTATGTATTTTAACTTTAGGGTCAAATTTGTAATACATTTTTTGAATTTGCATTTAATAAGCAACTTTGAAGTTGTTAAGAATTTGAATATGGGTATCCACTTTTGAAGTATGTAACAGAATATGGATACAAGAGACCATTTGGTCATTCAAGACTGTCCTAGAGAAAAGTAAAAACTTTAACTTTCCCATTATTTTTCAGGAAATAGTTGATTCCCATCTAAAACTCTAGTAAATACTTGTTTGATTGCCTGATCCAGGTTTGGAATGGAAGTGCTGGTTAACTGAATTTTGGTAGTTCACATAGCTTATCTTGAATGTGGAGTTTGGATATTTATTTTTACATGAAAATATTCAAAATTTCAATTCAGACGCACACAAATTGTAAGATACTAGGTGAAAAAATTGTCCTGCCATCTACTCAGAACAGGTACCTGAGACAACCAGTTTCTAGAAATCATTGTAAAGGTGAAGAACTAAACTTCATAATAATGTACAAAACTTGCCAGTCATTCATGACAAGTTTCAAAATCTATGAATTTTCAAGAGGTTGTATGATAAAGCCACACTTGGAAGTTGACAAATGGTTTTAATAGTATTTCCCAGCTTGTAAAAAGAGCTTTTATCTGTTGGCTTCTATGGGACAAGCAAAGTTATGAAGGGAGCAAGTACTTTGTGAATTTGGCCACTCGTCTGGGAGAGAAGAAGATTCAAAAATGTTTTACTTAAGCAGATAATTGTTATTAATGTGGTCCTTTGCTAGTTTAATATCAAGAATGACAAAAGCAAAAGTGGATTTCACCATCAACTTTTGTTAGTAACTAATACTGCAATAATTAATCTCTGAAGCATGCTTGCTTTGACTCTTGGATTTAGTATAGAATCATGCTGAAAATGTCCCTTGTTTGATAGGAAATGTACATAATTGCATGTATGTTAGTTTTTTTAATAAAAATCCAGTTTATGTTAATAGTGAGCAATATCTTGAAAAGTTATTCGATCAGTATTTGTAATATATTATTTCCAATTCAGATCTCTTCCTCCTTACTTCAAGTCTGAACTCAATCATAACTAAAGTTAACTTTGAGTACCACTGAAATATTACTAAATTGATCAGATTTGTTCATATTGTTTATTAGAAAATGTATTTTAATCATGCTGCTTTCATCTTTCCAGAAAAAAAATGCATGTTTTACTAAGTTTATAATCATGAAATTATACCATAAAACTTAAATGAAATGTATATATAATAATATATGGTTAGGTACTTTTTCAGTTAAACATAAGCCAGTGCTTAATTTAATTTCTCCACAGGGTTTATCTGTATACTTTTTTTTTGTATTTAAAACAATGTGAACACTGACTGGCTGCTTTTTCTGTGCATCAAGATTTGTTTTAAATGCCTTGAAAGAATATAGAAACAAATGTTTAACTTTTTTCTGTATGCACCTGGATTCAAATAATTGTAGTTTATCTGTTCCTAGAAGTCTGATTTTTTTTGTAATATTAAGGCAACTTTAGTAGAACACGTGTTTTGGTGTAAAGTTGTTATACCAGCCATTTGGCACTATCAGCTATAAAGAAAAGAAAGTCTTCTGTAAAACTGAAACTCATTTTTAATTATGTAGTGAGAAGTAACTAAAAGTTAAATAGGTCCCATGTTGTTACAAAACATTGTTATATTCCCTCTTCCTGTTACATTTTATTGTTTTTATGTTTGAGCATGATGAATTATTTTGATTAGTCGTACTTCTGTCTTAGTACTGTAGTGTCGTTATTTAAAGCTGTTCTTTGACTAAAACGTTTTTGAAAACTTTTAGCAAAGTGCTTAATGATTTTTATGAACGTGCCTTAGCAATTAAATGATATAACTTAATACTCCAATAGTGTGATTAGGAATATCATTATTATAATAAGACAATCACAAGTTCTTCATTTCAAACGTTAATAGAAAGAGAACAACGTGGGAAGTCTCCCCTGCTTGATAAGTTTTTAATTAACTCTGCAAGATAATCATTATGATGTTGATATCTGATGTTACTAGAAAGAGAATAACTTGGTGAGGGTGTATTGTATTGTCTGTTCACTTGTTTTCATTGAACTTTCTTCCTGCCATTCATTCTAGTTGGAAAAGTAAAGTTTGTAAATAAAATCATCTATATTATCAGATGGTTGATAAAAATGCAAAATAAGAATAAGTGGAAGTAAACTGTGAAGGGTTAATAAACATTCCATAACTTGGCTGAAATTATTGTTTAGTTATTTGTTATATTTACTTGTGTATTTATTGTAAAGCTTTGAGTGTACACCAGAATGTCAGTCTTGTATTGTGTATATTATTCAATAATGTACATGTATGTGAACATGGTGTGCTCTATCATGCCTTGTATTAATACTTTATACACTGTGCTGTAGATATTTTGATTAAAAAAGGGAATTTTGTGTTACTTTACTAATAATTAATAGCAGAAGTGGCTAAAATACTTTTAAGGCTTCATGTTTTTTGTATGGCAAGGATCCCACAGATGGTAAGAATCACCAAAAAGCTGTTACTAAAAAGATGAGACCTTGCTACTAGTAAACAGTTTCTTACAAAGCATCGTGTCTTGTTAACATGAAACTAAAAGTTGTGACTTACTAATTATATGATAAAGAAATTGGTTTAAGTCATTTGCAAGTTTTTGTTTTAAACAAAACCAATTTTATTAGGTTAAATTGGCATGATAAATGTTATAGGCTAATAAGTTATAAATTTATGATATTCTATTTAAAAAACTACCTGCAAAAAACTTCTAGGTACTCTTGTGTTGGTTTAAGTGAAGTAGGTGATAGCATCTCATGTACTTAGTTCATTGTTGGCAACTTTTGGTGTGAGAGAGTAAACTTAGTTTGTAATTAACAAAGTATGTGAGCAATACAATTATTAGACAGCTGAGGGTTAAGAATAGGTAAATAGAGTTGAACATGCTAGGATTCTTGGTGTTTTATTATGTGTTATGTTATATCTAGATAACAGTAAAAATAGTTGAACTTGTTAAGATTCTCAGGATTCATAGTTTTGTGTTATACTACTTAATCACAAAACAGAAAGGATTGAACTCATGTTTCTTTGTTTTGTGTTATAAAAGGGTTGAACTTATTAAGAATATTGGTGCTGAATTAGCTACTAGATAGTTAATAAAAAAAGTAGAATTTAAACAAAAAATTTTTTGTATATCATGTAATTACAGGGAAAACATTAATAAGGAAACTTACATATAGTTGTTTATTAACAACAAGTTATTAATAAAACGTTTCTTATGAGTACTACTTGATTTTGGTGCTACCTATTATAGGAAGTTAAAGTAACTAGTTATTGTTTTAATTTATCATACACCTGTGCTGTTTTCTATACTGTGAGGAAGAATTTAACAAACTGTGCATTTCAAACTATATGTTCATTGTTTTAAAATGTCTGTTAAGTGAGTTTTTTTTAACTATCTGAGATAACACTACATCAACATAATGTATAATTAATAATTATCTGTGTTAACAAATGAGTTATTAGGAAAATGATCATTCATCCAGGTTAACATTTACGTACACGTACGGGGTGTCCAGAAAGTGTGGTACCATAAGCATTTCAACAAATTTTACAGAATGTGTTCCACATGCTGTCCTTGTAATTTGAAACAAGTTTGGAGACGGTATTTCCATTCTCTATGAACACTGTGAAGAATATTCGTGTCAATGTTAACAATTCATATGGACATTCTCCATAAATTTAGCTAGCAACTTTCCAACAGTACTGTGAGTGAGTGATGTTTTTTCTTCTCTCTCTCTGGAGTGGCATACAATAAATT